GGCGGCGGCTGCAACCCCAGCCTGGCGGCCGCGAGCAACAGCGGCGGCACCGGCGCAGGCGGCGGCGGCGCCTCGAGCACCCCCATCAACGCGAGCACCGGCAGCAGCAGCAGCAGCAGCAGCAGTAGCAGCAGCAGCAGCAGTAGCAGCAGCAGCAGTAGCAGCAGCTGCGGCCCCCTCCCCGGGAAACCCGTGTACTCAACCCCGTCCCCAGTGGAAAACACCCCCCAGAATAATGAGTGCAAAATGGTGGATCTGAGGGGGGCCAAAGTGGCTTCCTTCACGGTGGAGGGCTGCGAGCTGATCTGCCTGCCCCAGGCTTTCGACCTGTTCCTGAAGCACTTGGTGGGGGGCTTGCACACGGTCTACACCAAGCTGAAGCGGTTGGAGATCACGCCGGTGGTGTGCAATGTGGAACAGGTTCGTATCCTGAGAGGACTGGGCGCCATCCAGCCGGGAGTGAACCGCTGCAAACTCATCTCCAGGAAAGACTTCGAGACCCTCTACAATGACTGCACCAACGCAAGGTAACGAGCGGAGGGCAGCCTCTGCCGCCCCGGCCCCTTCCCTTCCCCTTCCCAGCCCACTCCACGCCCTGGCCTCGGTGCCTTCCCGGCGCCGCTCTCCGCGCGCCCGCGAGCCGCGCGCACCGGCGAGCGCGGCCTCTCCTCTCCTCTCCTCTCTTCTTTTCTCCACCCCTCTGCCGCTCCGCACCTCCCCGGGGCACGCCAGCCGCACCCGACCCCATGAGAAGTTGGCACCTCACCCTGCCCACATCTAGCTCTTCCGGCCGGCTCCGTCCCTTGCTCCCCCGGGTGCCCGGGCTTGGCTGCTGTGGGACTTGGGAACCCCAAGCTCCGGGGTGGAGGGGGGCGGGAAGAAGGGGGACTGCGCCTCTCCGCGGAGCCACAGCCCCTTCTCCGGCTCGCCGGAGTCTGGGAACGTCTCTGGCCCTACTGCCTGAGTATCCTCCCCAGGTCCTGGGCTCCACGGCCAGCCTCTGGACAACTCCTGCGGGCTCGGGGGTCGGGGGCGGTCGTGACCCTGCCCTGTCCCGTAGGGTTCGTGGAGCGGGGACACGCGCTCCTAGTGAGGGGCCCACTAGAAAGCCGAGGGTGTGGGCTGGCAGCCCAGGAGGGCACTTTGAGGTCAGGAGAGGGACGACACAAGCGGCCCAGAGGCCCGGGGCAATCCCGGGGCACGAGCAGGAGTTCACTCCCCAAGTCCCGAGGGAGCATGTCGAGGGGAGGGGTCTGTGTGTGCGCGCATGTGTGCGTGTATCGCGTGTGAGCGTGCATCGCGTGTGAGCGTGCAAGGGAAATAAAGGGGTGCGTTTGCCCCAGGGCAGATGCGAAGGCACCAGCCTGTTTTCTTCTAAAGGGGAAGGGGACTGGGTGCCCTGGCCTCTTGGAAGCATGACTGGAGATATGGAGAAGCAAGAGCATAATGCGCTGGCTCTCTCCCTCGGTTCCTCTCTCGAGCTCTTTCACTCTTTCCAAAGTGGGAGGAATTTTTTTTCATTTGTTTCTTTTCTTTCCTTCTTCTTTTCTCTTTTAAAGGTTAGCTCACTCAAAAGAGCAGGTGCACGTTTTCCACGGGATGCTCTGCGATCCCCAGTCCTCTGCCCTGGCTCTCCCAGCCAGGCAAAGCGTGGCCACTCCGGAGGCCTTGGAACAGTCCTCGGTCCAACCAGTTTTATACTAATGAACGTTCAGTGGGGGAGGATCTACCGAGAGGGGGCGGGAGTGGGGCAACTTGGCAGTTTAGGGGTAGAAATGACCATTTCACCCTCCTTTCACAGTTCAGCTTTGTTCCCACCACTCGCTTCAGGAAAGCACAGGGGGAAAAGTTAAGAGACTGCAAGAGAAAGCGAACGGAGAAAGTTGGAAATCTGAAGCAGGCACGTGGGTACTGCGCGCAAGATTTGCGCGAAAACTTCAGTACCTTCCTAATGTTTAGAGGCTGAAGGAAGAGAGTTCGTGTAGGCTCCTAACAGTGCTAGAGAGACTGAGGTGGGAAGAAAATCAGGACCTAAAGGAAGTGGGGGTGAAAAAGCGGCTAGCTCTTTCTTCTTGGAGAAAGAAAGATTGCTCCTTAGAGCCTGGAAGATTGTAAAGAGAAAAGGACTCCAGCTCCAACTGAACGAACGTCTTATCGAGACCTGGCCCGAAATTCTTTTCCGTATTTATTTGCCATTCTTTCCGTGAGGCACGGGTGTGTGTCTGGGTTTTCAACCTTCATTTAGACTATTTTGGGATAAAGGTGTGTGTGTGTGTGTGTGTGTGTGTGTGTGTGTGTGTGTGTGCGTGCTCGCGTGTGTACGCGAGCTTGTGTGTGTGTGCGCGGGCGCTTGTGTGTGTATTCACGCGCGTGCCCAAGTGTATGGACAGGTGGCAGTAGATATTGCGAGGGAGGGGGGCAGGATCACTAAACGTCATTTACTCAGATAATTGGAGTCCTTGGTGATCCAAAATACAGAATATTTGTCCCAAATCTATCTCTAAAACTATCTCAATTAGGACAAAATATTATTGCAGAGTTGTTAGGAAAAATGCTAGTAAATTTAAAGTCAGTCCAGACACGACTGCTATAAAATTGCTTACCCGATATTTAGTAATGAAACATCCATTCTACTCTGAATCTTCCTTGTGTTTCTTAGGGTACATATTGTACTAGGTAATCAGTGGCCTTTTTGGATGCACATATGCACACCCATACAGAATCGCTCCAGACAACTTCCCTCGACGACTCCATTATAATTAGTACTACAATCACTGTAAAACTTGGGTTTTTGGGCCTGAATTTTTGCCTACGTTTTGAATTGAAGTCTTCATCATATAGCTGAAGAATAGTCCTAAAGTTATTAGCTAAAATTTCTTGTAAGTCCCCTTCCCCAGGTTAGCAACAGATCTGGAGTTTAAACTTACAGAGTTAAGCTAAATTAAATCCAGTGGAACTGTTTATCCTTTCAAAAATATCTCATCACTACTCTAATTATGTTTCAGTCACCTGGCCTTGACACTTGGCTATTAAATGTGTGGTCTAAAAATTCTATTTCAGATTATTTTAAGTGAAATACGGGAATTTTGATCTTCTCTGAACGAAAAAAGCTTCCTGAAACATAGATATCCAGATATTGTAGTTATTACCTGAGAAGATGTGTAGTTGCGTGTATCCGCTTACTTAGGTTTTCCTCGAACTGCCACTGAGGAAATAAAAAAGCAATTATAACTGAACTTCCTCACACCAAAGTATTCTGTATGTATTGTACCACATTATTATTTGTAATAATTATTATGAGTGTTATTGCTTTATCTCTTTTCTTTGAAAATAATAACTTAAATGTTTTGCATCTTGAATTGAAAAGCAAAAATTGCTTTCCATTCAGGTCTAATTTATGCCTTTACTATTAAGATCTGCTTTCATTCACTTAGATATATTGATTTCTTTCACTCTAGTTTCTTTATACTCTAGCTACTTAACAGACGAAGGGAATAATTTTCACAGAGTATAAGAGAAACTGCAAGAAGACAAACTATATAAAATTACAGTTATGTGCGGATGTGTAGTGTGGGTCAGATTTGAAATCCTAGCACTCTCAGCTTTTTACAGAATGTGTATCTAATTATAAATCCTAGTAATACTTAAATACCAGAGACTCAAAATGATGCTAAAGAAAGGTTAATAAACTTGCTCTGAGTGGCTCAGTAAGTTAGCAGCAAACCTTAGCATAGATTTAATTTGCTCGAGGCTATTGTATTAGTATGCTATCTCTGAAAACTAGAGTAAATGTTGAAGCCATCTGTCACTACCACAAGGAGATGAAAAAGAGACTATCACCTCTAGACAGTAAAGCTGAACATCATAGGTCTCAAAACCACGAAGGAAAATGTAAGGAAATATATCTAAAAGTTGTCAAAGGGCAAGGTCTGCCCTTGATCAGCTTTCTCTAATTCTTATTTTAAAACTAAACATTAGTTGCATGAACTTGGTTATTGCAACAGAGGTCAGTTAATTAACTGCTAACCATTAAATAACAACAAAAAAGAAAAGTAATTATGTACATGGTCAAGTCTCTGTTTGCATGAGTCAACTGCTTGTTTGTAGAGTTGGGTCAGGATTCAGTTTTCTGTGAATTCAAGTAATACAAAGGGACTCTTGTATTATACTATCTAAAATGCTTATTTGTTTGATTATTGTCAGAAGATGATTTTGTCTCAGGACCTTTCAAATCAGATTGTGATTTAGTTTCTCAGCAGCCCTAGATTTGTGAAGTTTTTTTTTTAAACTTGAATAGATTCCAGTTACTTTCATCAGATGGTGTTACATACATATACATATATTCACAAACAGTATTCTTTTGTCTTAAAAGTTGATACTGTTCATAGATAGAAAATTGAAAGACTTGCTAAGCCTTTTACAGTTCAGTACTACTATCTAAATAAAATTTTAGTGTAAGTACAAAGTTTTTTCTAATTCTTGCCTTTATTTTTCTTGTCAGGGGTTTGAATAAAGATAGCCAGCCAAAACAGTCTCTATTTATTTAACATTTCTCCTGCAGCCTGCGTTTTAATGGCACAGACTTATGCATCGATGGAGAAAGTTTCAACACAAACACTGATTCATTCACTCGTAACACATAATTATGATATGTGGCACAGAGAAATTCAAGAATTACTTCAAATGAAGAGAGACTATGCTTTTGAAGTTTTGTATTATAGTAGATTAATGATTCCTATAAAGCTGAGTGTCTCATAACATTTCAGAAAGAATACAACATAATTATAAGACTGAGGCATAAAATATGAAAGTTTATTTGGATGTACAATTAATGTGTCTACTTTTAAAATGTTAGAAAATTATAGTTTAATAGCTAATATATGAACAGAAGCATATTCTGATCTAGGATTTACATTGCTCAATCAAATTACATTACAGAGTGCAAAATCTTAAGTTATTTACATCGACTCTTTCAAACCTGTCATTTTCCTTGGAATTAGCCTCCAATAACAACATAGTCACTGTGGAGTGCACAGAGTTATGAAGATGCCTCACTTTCTGAACTCTGCAGTTTATTAGTCAATGCTCTGAGGCAAGAAAATTGATTTGCACAAATGGTATTTTGTGACTTTAAACAATGCACAGAATAAACTACACGGCAAGCTCCCCTCACCTCAGAGTTCCTTTATGCATAGTTTTTGGCATTTGGGAATTTTAAAATCTTCCTTTTTTAGCCCAAAGCTCCTATTGTTTTTTGTTTAATCTATGACATTTCACTGAAGTTGCATGTAAATTACCTAGACAAATATTAGCCACCCTCTTTTTTGCTTCACTACCTCTTCCAGCCTCCTCCCCTGGAGATGTGACACCCAATATTGATTAAAGTCTTGGCAGAATTTGAGCATAAATCACTCTTCTCTTTGGCGATTTACTTCATGTGATTCACCAGCATATAAAAACATAATATGCTTTATTGTTTCTCAGTTGGTGTTTTGTTTTGGGGATGTAAGTAGCATTTGTAAATTAG